AAAAGCTATCCAAAACACTATCTGACACATGTTCACAAAGATTCGTGAACAGGTATGTTTCACTCTCATTTAGATAACCGCATCAATTCATGGAGAACCAGAAATTGCCTTCGGATCGGTACAACTCGTCGATCGAAACCGTCAAAGAATTCTTTTCGATATTGATTGAGTGGAACTGATCATCCCTCGAACTTCATCTTTACGCACATTCTTCAGCTCTTCCAGTCAGCCATACACTCGGAAGCATTAGACTCGAGTTTCGCTCTTCATAGTAGTGCATATCTACGGTCCCGTCCGGAATTTGAAGTCCGCACTCAACGCATGGAAGGTGTGCGTGTGATAACACTGTGCCAAACAGCTCATGCTGGGGCTCAAAATAATTGCCAGTTCAATTTTTTCCAGGTGTCAGTCAGTTTACTGTTAGCCCAAGAGCAACAAAGGGGACAGTTTACTATCTGGTTGACTGGAAGTGCTGAGGAATGTGCGTGAAGGTGAAGTCAGAAGTATGGTCAGTTACACCTAACCAATATGAATTACCCCACAACACTACTCGCAAGTAATTTAAATGTGAATTGTTACAGAGTTGGCATTCTTTAAACCTCTCAGTGAAAAAGTACTCTGGTGATCCCAGCCTGCAAGATGACGCATACCCTGGAGCCACACGTTGCAGTTTTAGGACAACTGTGATCAATCAGACTTCAAGGGTGACGTCAGCAAAGCGCGTGCGTGCCACAGCTTCTGGACTACGTGCAATAGATCGATCGTACCAGCCAATGAGAACCCGTGCGACTCAGACAGAAGCAGAACAGCGGCAGAAATACTGGAAGGCGATTGGCAGAAGCCCGAATGACCAATGAGCTTGTTCTGTACATATTATTTAATCTCCGTAATTTCTTTCAACGAACGAACTAATACTCCTGTGATCTTTTCCTCGCGTCTCAGTTACGTGAGATATTGCGTGTTAGTGTGGTCCAGTGTTTACGTGACGTCCGTGACTGCTGATCAGTGATTTGTTACTACTACTATGACGACAACTATAACAAGAACATAGAACTGAATTATATGTACATATGTGTACACACAACTAGAGAGAGAGTGTGTGTGTATGTGTGTGTGTGTGCGTTTGCTATAACCGGAAAACGGTCCAAACGGAACAAACAGAATCGGGACCAGCTCCCCCCTATGTGAAAGTGAAGTGATGAAGTGGGGTGAGAACAATAGGGATAATGAACCCAAAAGTCCAATATGAACGGACAGAAGCAGAATAAAGCCACACAACAGGAACTGAGGATGCCACCTTGGCTGGTGATAATAAGTTTGCTAACGAGTGATTCTGCCCAGAGGACAGGTGATGGTGTGAATCACGCTCCAAATTCACACTCGATGATCAGTCATTGTGGCTTTGGTGACTGGAAAAAACAATAATCTGGGCGCCATGTGACCCTATTAGCTAAATTTCTCACAAATCCAACACACATATGGAATGGATGCTTTTCGAGCCATTCGTATCGGTGTTAATTATTCGTGTTGCCTGATGGAAGTATGTGCAAAGAGGTCCCCACCCTGAATAAAACGAATAAATGGGACATAGTTGGAAGTAAAAAGGAAAACAATGAACTCAAAGACTTGAAAGAAAAGAAGTTACATGAAGCACTACACGCAATGGAGATTAGATCGATAATCCATGGTTGTCTATCGTTGAGTGAAAGGAATACCAAGTGAAAATATACATTTTAAGCTGCACTGGATTCACTTGGAGTAAGAAATGGAACTTCTGAAATCATTGACAAATACAATGAAAACAGCTTTGGAATTCAAATGTCTGACACCCAAAATATTCGTCATATCTTCATCCAATTCATCTGACCTCACCTGGCTTTATTCTTTAGTATGAATCAACGGGAAGTAAAACGATATTATGGAAATCCCGGTCCTCCATTATCTGTTCACTAATTCATTAAAAATGCGTTTTTAAAGGCTCAGCAACAGACAGCGTCAAACAAATTTAACATTTGTGTAGTGTCGAAATTCCTTCGAACATCGGTCACTCCCCAATGAAACTAACTCAGTTTTCGGAATGTCAGATTTCAAATTAATGCATTAATCAGGCGATCATTCTCCCGAGTTGAGTTCTTTCTCTGAATTTACCGTACGCATAAAAATCCCCCTCGGCCACCATCGAGGGTCTTGATCTCTGACGTGTAAGCGCAATATATAGGAAGCGCCTTATGATATTCATTCGCGAAAAATGTTTGACCCTGTCAATATACTGTTGATAAATGTGACCGTTTTGAAGCCAAAGATATCCGAATATCGATTTTTAATTCGGAGTTCAGAATATCTTCGGATGGGCGGAATTTTGTGTGAGGGTGTAGTATTCACGATATGCGTGGATAAGGAATTGGAACCACGACGGTGGTAGTTGAACCACACAATTACCTAAAAGATCTGCCACAATTGAGAAGCAAGAAAAGACCAAAAACAGCTTAGTCTACTCAACCAAACCGAAGAGATTAAATAATCTTCAATAAAGAACGTCACTGATTAAACAGGTATTAGCCAATTGGCGTTTGTGTTCTTATCATTATGGGAATTATGTTTAAACCACACGGTTTTGGATTGATCCAGTTTGTTTACGTCCGATTCGCTGTCCTGAATTGTCACGCACAGCTCGTTGTCTGGGGTTAATACGGAGATCTGGATCACCTCAAAGTCCAACAAAGCTCGTTGTAGTTATTTTCTTCGTGTTGGGATTCACTCGCAATCCGTACACATAAGACCAATACACACAAACGATGAATGTTGGGGATAATAGGGAAATCATCGTTCAAATAAACGGATATTGCATTTGAATCATTGTGACTTGTGAGTAGTCGCGTGGGGTAATCGATATTGATTAGAACTGACTATCCTTCGAACTTGATCTTCATGCACACACCTCGCCCAGTGTGTATGGTTGACTGGATGAACTGAGGATTGCGCATGCCGGGAAAGTCCAAAGGATAGTCAATCCAAATCAAAAGCGATATTGATTGACTGTTAACGGCTTGAATTTGAGTGGCATTCTTTCGATTAGGCCACCGTAAAAATCGAGACACCCGCCCAGCTGACTGCCGCGAAATTAGATCTGTGATTGTAGTCTGTAAGTAACAATATTCGATCGTCGCATTCGACTGAATTTCGTACCGGAAAACCAGATTGTCTGTATAACTAGACAGGTCATGGCCTAGAGTAATCCATTCGGTGAAATCGAAATACGGTCTTGTGATGGATAAATTTGAAGAGTAAAAAAGACGTGTTTGAGTGCTTTAAAAGCGAATATTCAATCAGTTAACCCAGGCCCGCGATGTGCGCTCCCCTCCCCCTCGCAGTCCGGTACACTTTAATGTAACGCATATTGGAAAAGGGGAATCGCAAACACGAGTGTTAACCATTTTACCCGATGAAAGTGAAAATCAGTGACTAACCACAGAAAAACAAATTAAGTTTGCCATCGTCCTTCAAAGCTGGTTCGGAACTACGATCATGAGAGTTGATTAAAATCAGTTATCACGAGTGGACTTAATTCTTTCGACAAGAATAACCCGTAGGGTTTTTAAATGAAACTATGAACGAATGTGAATTTGGACTACAGCTGAACACTTCATGTTACATACGTTTATTTGAGTGTATAGTGTATAGAACACAAGGACCCACAACGAAATGGACTACAAGATCGTCAGCGCCCATATGGATGTGCTGATAAATGAAATTCAGTATCGTGATATTCTTTACGTATCACGTGGCCACTGATCGATCTACCGTAGTTTCATGGCTTCAGTCATTGTAGCTCAGTTGAACCGATACAACGAACGGAAAATTTCGATGTTGTGTGGTAATATGGTAAATCCCAAAAGGACTTGAATTTTGCATACTGTTACGATTTTCCTGAAGTCGATAATATGTGCAGGAACGTTTCCACCTTCATTGGGTGCTACAAACCCCACTCACCTTCATGGTTCTGGTAATTTTCAACAAAACACTGGACGTTTGACCTCGACCAGAAGGCGTACAACCTGATGAGCTGAACAGGTACCGGTTCCCAATGGACTGTGGTTTACTACGTATCGCGCCGCTGCCTCATGGGTCCGGGTTTTGCTTGTGGAAGATTAAGACTGTAAATATCCCAAGAGAATTCACCCGCTTTGGCCTGATATATCCTGCTGGTAGTAAGTCGTATTACCCTCGAAAAAGCAAATCATGAACCGATTTCCTTGCGACAAAGATTGATGTGACGTGGCTTGTGATTTGACACAGTCGGAACTTAGTAGACAAATGAGAAATTTACCACTAATAATGAAACTTGAATGTGATGGCAAAGGTCAGCAATTCCGTTCAACAATTCAGTTTATTGAATGGAAACCACAGTGCAAATGAGACGTCACCCACCTATACGCACAACATTGAAAACCGAAGAAATCGTCAGTGATTGCGCATCTGACTTTATTTTGGACAGGTAATTTTCACATGACAATCAAAATACAGAAATAAAACGGAAAAGAAATAAAAGAAGAAAGACGATGCGAATGGGAAAGGGGGACGTAGAGACAGAGAGCATGTGCGCGATAAAAGAGGTTCCCCTACGAGGTCGGGATGTGAGTGAGGATGAGGAGAGTGCGGTTTCTCGGACTGATGAGTCGGAGAGGGGCGTGGGGAGGCAAGAGCAGAACCGAGAAGACAAAATCACATGAAAATCTGTAAATGGAGTGATGATAAAACTGCACACACCAGCTGTATATGTATGTATATATATTATACAACGTGAACAAACAGAGTCTCAGTGCGTCTGCATTTGTACACACGTGGGAATGGGCGTATGACATTGTGTGCGTGTGTGTGTGTCTGTTGGTGAAGGTTCGGAATAGTGCACGAGCAGTGTCCAATAGACTATTTTATTTTTGGAACTAAAAACCTCCAGTGGCGGACACGAACAGTGACAATCGGCCATGATTTTGTGTCTATCACACTGCACCAGTTTTCACATTCAAAAACTCATGGCATTCTGCACAAATACGCACTGCCTTGTCCGTGGCCAGGCCTTCGACCGATTGCCAGTGATTACAACATGAGGCACAGAATATGTGCCCACAGCGTCGACAATGATGACGACGTCGGAACAGATTGAACGCACGAAGACAAGAAGCGCACTGTCGGCCGACTTGATAGACGATGGCATCCTCATCCTCCCCGTTATAATTGAAACGATCTTCGTCACTGTCACTGCCATGACCTTCAGCATCACTGTCTGAACAGCCCGAGTGCGAGATCCCGGATTCCCTCAATCGGTCCGGTTGCCAAGCTGGCAGATAGTGGTATACTTGATCTGTGGGTGTGCGAACTCCTTCCACGGAGGAACCCAAACGGAGCTTCTGAAATCGGTGTGTATTTGCACCTGTCAAAGAAAACAAAGGGAGGAGAAGGGAGATATTAAGTGCCAAAATGCACAAATTGAAGCTTAATCGGCAAATGACGGAAACAAGACACATGTCACAGGCTTAGACCATCAACTGTACAAGCATTAGAACAATGCGGTTACCGCATTACGAGTGGCTGATTGCAGGACTTTTCAGTCACCATAAAACAAAATAGTATCAGCCTGAAAGAGTTATTGGAATTTCGCAACGCGTCGCTCTCTCCCTCGGTCACACACACACACACACACACACGCACATGTATAAAATGCTCCTGAAAAGCGACCATCTCCGTGGGAAGACAAATTGTCCTGAGCCTATAATTCTCCAGTTGCAAAACACAACCTTCGAATGAACACGATTCATAAACCGACAGAAAAAATCCACCTGGTCCTGCGCTAAAGACAATCCATGAGTCCTTTTATTACGATCTGACTGTCAAATGTCACACTAGGGGAAGCATGTGTAAATGTTGATGTCCCAGTTTAGTTATAACAGTAAATCCATCCAACGATGCTAAAGCTATTGAGTGTTCATCATCTTGTCGTCTGACACGAGTGTGGGGGACCAGAAAGATGCGATCCGAACGTGGACTCGAAAAATCCGCAACCCAATATTTTTGAAGAGACGATCGATTCTCTCCTGTTCAAATGACTATTGGAACTACCCATCTTCAAATTGACTTTCCTGAAAACCAAATTTCCCCTCTGATATGTGTGGATCGGTCAGATATTTTAATTGATGATTATGTACGGATGATTTCGGTCTAGCGCGGATGGACAGCAGAATCTTAGGTTGTCGGGGATATGCGGTATTTTTGTAGTCATTTATAATCGCTTCCTGTTGGAGGATAAGGCCACGCGTATCTATGGAAGATGCAGAAATGATTATCTCAGTACGCTGAACAAGCGGTGACCAAGTACAAGAAGATTGTCGCGAGGTGTGTGATTCAAACTGGACAACAACAACAACTACGCTGAAAATGTGAGTGAAATTGACGCTCGAACGAGAAAAACAGAAAGGAAACTAACCATCTAATGGCGAGCATAACACGAAGAACAACAAATGACGATGGATTCCTCTTCGACAAAGTACATAACTACCAAAATTTTGCTTCGCACCTTGTTTCAAACGGGATAGAATGCAATGATATCAAAGAAGCGATCCGGAAAGGTGGCGGGCACTGTCAATCTGTCTTTCTTCATGTTTTATCCACACTTTATGCTTCTGTCTAAATATCGCCCCAACCACCTAAGGTGAAGTGAACAAATTTCCTGAGTCTCGATGACGGTCATTACATGGAGGAAGCGCTGGATACGTACAACTCGGCTATATCAACTCGTCTATTGGGGCGTTTGTGATTGATCAGTCCTGTCATTTAGTCCATTATCTCATTATATACAAATCGATTTAAGCTTGTCCCTGTTTCGGAACAGAAGATCCACAATTTTGAGCACTGGAAAAATCTGAATCAACAGTGTGTGTATGTATAATAAACGGAGGCGGATGGTGGGAACATGGATGAATGCTAACCAACGCGTGAATCTGTGCGAGTGAGAGGGACAGTCTAAGTGAACAAAGTTATGCCACGCATAATGCCACTACCGCAGTATAAGTACAGTTGACAAAAAGTTAGCTGCGACTTGGTTAAACGAGATAACTTCTCGCATAACAATATCAAGAACGTTTCTTTAACCTTACATCTTTCCACACAGTGCACTTTTAATCATTTGTGCTCCTGAGTTCAATGCTCGACCCCAAAACAAAAGTAAGAAAACGGCACAATAGGACTTCAATAGATAGTATTTAGATTCTATCGATCGGCTCAAGATAACCCTGTACTTTCAGTGGATGAGGCGGAGATCTGGTTGTAAGTAAAACGCTAGCTTATGCGAGCAAAAATGGGATACGAGAAGGGAGGTAACGCAATCTGAAGCCCTAGCAGCTATAAGTGCACTCACTATAAACGGTCACTGATTTCTATCACCGTCAGAATAGCATTATTCCGTACACTGATTGGATCAGCTATTATACTTCTAGGCACAGACAACATTCCATGGGTGTACCGATTAAGAGTCTATGAAGAATATCAACTCAACCTTGACTAACGATCCGTACTTGTTTCACCTCGCATGCATTCGTCACACCGAGTGCCCGGGGTTATAACGCCGGTATTCTTAGAAGAACAGTCGGTACATTCTGGTGGCTGAGGTCAACATGCTCATCGCAATATGGTGTGATGCAATAAAAACGAAGCAGACTTATGCTAACTGGAACGCGGAAAGGAAAGATATGTATGACACAAAGTTCCTGGAACAAGCATAGATGGAGGTACGTATGTGTGACAATCTACACACACGCACACACGCACACACACACACAAATTTCACCAGCCGTTTCACAAGACTTCAGCGAATTGTAGTGCGACAAAAATTTTCGAAAATACACGTAGACACAGGCAAACAGTAGACGCCCTACTTTAGTCTTACTTTCAATCAAAAAAATCATTCTTACGGTTACCAGGAGACTTAGGTGGTCTGATCGAAATATATGCAATGAAATGAATGTAATGACTAGAAGTGAAAAACAAGCAGTTCGGTCGATGTTCAACTTTATTCCGCGATAATCGTATCTTCAATAAAACGAACATTTTTTCTTTACAATCACTCAAGATCATGGTTGTCACATTACAGAAGTGCATAGCGGACAGGTGGGAAATAATTATAGTATCTCAAAACCAGTCCAGTTGGTTAATTTTTCTGTGGCCCATAAAGTATCATGTGTGAGATAACTTTTTTGCTGTCAGATGAGGGGATTTTTTATTTAAAGTGATTAGGTAAACAGCGTGACCTCGGGCAAATTCGATTTTGCAACAATCAGTTAGGGCAAGTTCAGACGGAGAGATAGACGAAAAATTGAGATACTTAAGGGATAAGGAGAGGCAGAAGATAACTGCTATCAAACGTCAGTGTTCCCTGTGCAAACCAGGCTCAACTTTTATGGTGTCAGTGGGTAAAAAAATTGACAAAATCAAGTATGATGATCACTTGTTTGAAAACAACGTTGAAAAACATAGTATCGGACTAGTAATATATAAAAGGAAAAAGTAACCGGATTTCAACTGTGGTGGCAAAACCACCGGAGGGATGATTTTAGTCGAATCAGTGCATCTGGCCCTTTAACAATCTACTCTGATCGAAGAAGCAGTTAGCATTTGAACACGGATACTCAGTTACCGTTACCGGATTAGACCCCTCTCTGTGATGTTCACTGCCGTGGTTTTGGAGATAGAAAAGTCCAGTTTACAAGTAAAAGCCGCATGGTAAGCGGGGACTAGAAGAGAACAATCTGCATTACCGAAACGACAGGAACAAGTGTCAAGTCCTCCCTCCTACGCCCCATGAACAAAGATCGTATTCCACATTCTCGAAACCAGAGTAAAACGGGAGGGAATGTCATCCGTGACGCATTCTGATATTTCATTCGAAATGCATTAGTTTTAAACCGATAATCACCGAATCGGAGCTAAGAATACAGATCCGTATGACGAGACCAATGAAGCGAATACAGTAACCATTAGCTAACAGCAAACAGCTTTACCACACTTAGTTCATTTCCGTTTGTAACACCATTAGCCATGCAATTTCGTGTGCCTGTTTCGGTTGCCCATTTGAATGAGAGTAGGACAAAGACAGGAACAAAAAGAAGACAAATGTCGCAAGATGTTAATATTTCGTTTAATCTTCTCAGTAGCTGGCTTAAAACAAACAGGCACATATATATTACATGGGATTAATCAATTATGGTGAGCAAACGTGTACAAACATACAGAGTTTGCTAAATTTGGAAGTAGAAGGTCAACTCTACACGGAAAATGTATTGATTGTATTAAAAACTTCGTGCGCATAAGATTGGGTTATGCAATCGAATAAGCAATGCTTCACTAATAGCCAAAAGTGTAGCACTGAGATTACGTAATAGTGGTTTGAAAGACGAATTGGGGTCAACTGTGCGTCTTGTTGTCATGATATGTTTAGCAACAGGTGATCCTGGATTTTTTGTGATCACTTGGCTATCAATCATCGGTTGCGTAATCGATTTTATCAAACACTTCGGAATATGTTAGGCCATCCGTTGCGAGAGATGACGGCTTGTTCTGCCTATGTATGTGACACCGCAACTGAGAAGATTAAACGAAATGTTAACAGCTCGCGACATTTGTCTTCTTTCTGTATCGGTGAAATTCATTTATCGAAAGAAATCAATGGGATTAATTAACACGTATAAAGGAAGTTTGTTCAGGTATCCACCGATCGCGTACCCGCATTCCTGACGTCATACAGTTTCTTTCTGATCGAACGACTTCCGATTGGTCGACATTATTGGTCTGTGGTTTGTTGTCCAGAAACTATACTCCGCTTTGCACAGTGGCTTGCGTTATCCCGTAGACTAGAGTCACAGTCAAGTACGATGGGAGATTCTAATTGAGTGCTTGTTTGTCATCGAAGCTACAAATTGTGCGAAGTTGTGCGTTGGAATTATGAAAGTGCTCCACAATGTTGTAACGTGTTCTACTATGCTTGAATGACCGTTTCCTCCTACAAGTACTTCTAAATTTGGTATGCTTGTATACAATTGTTCACCATAATTGATTAATCCCATGTGCTATATATGTGCCTGTATGTTTTAAGTCAGTTACTGAGAAGATTAAACGAAATGTTAACATCTCGCGACATTTGTCTTCTTTTTGTTCCTGTCTTTGTAATGGATAAAGGGAACTCAATGCTTCAAAGATAGAAAAGTTGAAAATAGAAACGAACATAAAATGGAGAATTCCATTCCATTGCAACGAAATTAAGAAGATGCACGAAAGCCACTGTCAACCACACTCAGCCATATCGCTCAGTGCTTCTAACCATCGGTTACGATCATCCCTAGGTCCCCAGCCAGGGAGCCTAATGGATCCTATGTGACCCAATCTCCTGATTAGGATTTTCATACCTTCATGCCAGGTCTTAGCTTAGCCACCAATGGTTTTTTTTCCAACCATTACCTGCTTCGGTGAACATCGCGCGGCGTGCCAACCTATCTGATGACATGCATAACACATGTCCAAACTGACGTAATCTATGGAGCTGGACCACTTTTAATTTCCGTGGGCGATCACGGTTACCTAAAAGTGGGGTTGGAGGGGATAGGAAAGAAGATAAATCAATCGGTATGTTTTCTCTGATGCTTTCTTCGGACAAATCATATTTATTGAATTGAGTCAAATGTGAAATCGTATTTAGTCTATCGTATTGGGTTTTGCCTTGGTGGAAGGACTAAACCCCATAGTTAAGAGAACCTATTACTGGTCAGTTATATGAACCAGGAAGAGTGGTGCATCACATAAGGCCAAAATACAATCGTGTGAGTGGCAACTCAGAAGCCGCCATTCAAAATTGGATGACAAGATGCGGATTCGACACACTAAGTCCGGAGCATCAATGATGCCAGCTAATCAAATCATTAGACTAGCACCGGGTGTACCGAAACAGATAGAAAATATGTATTTCGCGAAGTACGCTGGCTCACTCCACTACCACATTAGACGAAACCGTCTTTGAACAAAGAGCACAACATTGCAAGCCAGCACGATTTAATTCCGGAATCATTTTGCTGTATCTCAACTGGTGCTTACTGCAGAAAAAAGCTTATATATCACAGTTAATAACATGGCGCCAGTTCATTCTTCCACTTACGTGGTCACCAGGGCAAAGCCAGACTGATGTAGACCTCTTCTGTCCGCCAAATGGCATGTAATCTATGAGTGTCAATGTGGGTACAGACCTACCTACGTGGGCAGAAGAGAGAGGCAGCTGCGTGCCCGAGTGGCTGAACACATACCAGTATAGGTCGAACGCGAGTGGGTGAGATTGAGCGCTGCACTAACAACCAGTCAATCAAGCCAGTCTCACACAGCACCTGTGACATCAATTGTTCGCCATCTGCTGAAGACTGGCGACCAAGCTAATCGTGAGACTTTGTTTGGGATTGTTCACACAACCCCGAATGGACGGCTGCTAAGATTTGCGGAGGCCATAGCAATCAAGTGCCGAAAGCCCCTACCATGTCAGCAGAACGAGGTCTACATCAGTCTGGCGTTGCCCTGGTGACCACGTAAGCGGAAGAATGAACTGATGCCATGTTAGATTGTTATGACCTGTGACATATAAACTATATTTTCTGCAGTAAGCACCAGTTGAGATGCCGCGAAATGATTCCGGAATTAAATCGTTCATTACGGGAAATAATTGCTTCAACTTTCAGAAAACAGTCCTGTCGAAAGTATTTGCGAATTTAAGCTAGGTGAAGTTTGGATAAAAAATGCACCAAGATAGTAGACATCTAAACAGAAACAAAACAAAACCTACTTGACGTATTTTCTCCCACCTCGGACCTGTCCCCGGATGTGATCAGATATGAGCGCAAATCGGATAGGGTGTCGGTATTGGTTAGAGTCATTTCACAAGAGGATTGGCCGGCTTCACACTGACCCAACATAGCGGCCACGTCTAAGCCCAATTCCAACGGGGAGGCCTGTCTGTCTGTGGCAACCACTGACGCTTTCTTTTGACCTCTCTCAGCAGTGGCAGCGACATCAGTTGAGTGTGGTAAGTCCGGGAGCATTAAAGAATCCTCTGACTTAGCCCATTTCAGTGCTGACACGGTAGAATTGCGTAGCAGATCGGTCAATCGTGTCTTCCCGCNTAATCACATCGGACCAATCGAGCAGTTTGGCCAAGGAACCGTGTTTCGGATCGAAACTGAACGCTTTCTCGTCAAGGACCAGTTCGTCTTCCAGTTCAGTATCACTAGACTCGCTGGAAGAGGAAGATGACAATGCGGAAGGCGAACAGGAGATGGGTGGGGGTGGCGAACTCAGATTAGGGCCAGTGCTCGTGGCCGTTGGAGTAGCAGAACAGTTCAAGTGACTGGAAGCGCTCGGCTTGTTTGCGGCCATTTGCTCAGCAAAAGCGGCTTCTTGCTCACTTGTATCGTGCATCTCAATGACAGACTGCAGGTATGTGANCCGAGGATTTGAAATCGGGGGGAGAGCGGATTTATTTCAACGTTGCAATTAGGAGCTTAAAAACATCAAAGACCAAAATTGTGGTTCGCAATTGAAGCAATTATACAGTATACATCTTTAATTTGGAGTTTATTGCACCAATATCTGAGTGGAAAATGTATAGCAAATTTTAGCGAGAGCCGATCGAAAAACTTCTATGCAACTCTGTAATTAGGCCGGCTGTGGTGCTGGGAGTCGAAAAAAGAAACCATTTAACATTGATGGACTAGCTGATGAGCTAGACAATGCAGTCACTAACTGAAGCGAGAAACACAAAGCATACAGAGGCGTTACGTCGTTAACTAATCTATGGAAGTTGCATAAAAAGCTGCCCGTTCTCATGTGGACAGGCAGATTCAAGTGCTGCACGCAAGGTAGATGCCGCCAAAAGAATCAGTATGGTCAGGGGCGGGCGTCTAAGATTGCGGCTGGTCATCCTTCCCTTGGGCCCCGCGAAATGCTCCCATACAACCAAGCGTCTCAAATAGCCTTTGCTGAGGAAGCCCTACTGACTGCCTTCTCGTGTCAGAGGCGTTTTCCCACCAAAGTGAGGGGACGAAAAGCCGACATCCGGGGTTATAACCGGGTTGGCGGACCACTGGTAGTTCGCCTACGGAAGTTGGCCAAAAGCCCTTATTCCAAACCAATCATGAAAAGAAGTACGAACTACACACACAACTTCCTGGTTGTGACAGTGGTCACCGGCTCGAATGGGCATCAAGGTGTATTGGGCACCTTGATCGTCTGATCCCGTCCGAAGGGTGTATGATCCGATGAACTGGAGACGCCAGCCCCCAATGAGTTGCGGTTTTCGCACACCGCCCCGCTGCCTTGCGGGTAAGGCTTTGGTTAGCCACAGGCTCTGGTTGTGGATTTCTCAAGAAACTCCACCTGCCTTGGCCTGGACAACCTAGCAGTATCCCACCCACATGCAAATCATGGAACGTTTTTCTTTTTCATAAAGATTATTGTACCATGATCTGTTTGGCACACAGTTTGGATTCAAACATGTGAGAAAAACATAAATATAAATATACACACAGCAGATGGTTTCAGGAAAACTTCGTGAAGTGTGTGATTAGTAGCCTATGCAAAATGAGAGGCCGGGTCAAAGGTTTTTAACGGGCATGTTTCCATGAGTATTCGCTGCAACATGAACTGCCGAATCGTTACCGTCCCGGTAGCAGATCACTTGGTGTCTATTACAAACCGGTCCTTCAGGAATTTAAAAAAACGAGAGAACCTTCGGAGTCTGAAATGCGATTTTTTCAACCGAGAAAAAACTCAATAACCCGTCATCACTGGAAGCAAACTCGCATCATTCAAACAATAACCGTCTGTCTGATATAAAGGTTCCAAACATTAAAATAAGATGACAGAAAAAAACGATACACACAAACCATCTACGATTACACAACGAAAACTACGGTTTGGTGAAAAATTAACTAACAATCGACTGGTCCACCACATCGAAAAAGTTCACATCAGGCTGCATACCGCGATAAGTGTGCAATTTGAAATGTCAATCATAAGAAATCTCACGAAGATCAGCTGTAGCAGCGTGAGGAGGATCCAATATTGCGAGCAAGATGGATGACACGAACAAGCAGAATTTGAATGACGTAGATTGAAAGGAGTGAACAGACGTGTGAGACCTCACACAGGCTGCAAAACCAACTTTATCGTCAGATTTGTCAATCAAGCTTGTTTTACCCTTCACGCTGTAAGAGAACTAATCCCGATTGGTTCCTGGGAGACACGGATTAGTGGAATCGATTGGGATCCCTTATTTACATATATTTCGCACTGGCATGAAGCGAACGTAAGTATAATGATAAGGGATACTACAGATTTGAGAGGAAAATGGGGAGAAACGAAGAACAGGGAGAACGAATAATTCCTCGACAGTTTCACCGTACAAACTCTGAAGTTTTATTTTGTCTATTATGGTGAACAGGGTATCACCAAACAGGCCGCACAGTAATCGCCTCGTTGACTTTTATTCTGAACCATATCTTCCACCTTTGGCCATCGAAAATCCTCATCCTTTGGGCCCTAACCCGGAAGGTGAGTTGCACCAACCGAAGCAAATGCTGAGGCCAAAATATCTGTACCTATACACCAGCTCATGGTCTGACCGCCGCGGCGTTTCTTCCAACCTTGACCAGTACGAGTCCGGAGAGGCAGACGATGGGTAGGCATACGCAAAATATGACCGAGCCGTCGGAAGTGGTGTATAGTGACTACTTCCGCTAGGGAACGACTATCAGTACCCACGACGACACGACGACAAATTTCGTCACTGGTCACTTGATGTCCCCACCAGACATGAGCAATGCTTTAAGGGCATTGGTGTTCGAATACGAAAAGTCCATTAGAATCGGGCTACTGTAAACCAAAACACGATGTAGACCCTTCCTTTAAGGACAATTGGACGTCATGGTGGTGCCACAGGTGTCCCAGGTTGGTAAAAGTTGGTATAGCTTTCACTGTTTATTATGTGATCTCCCCAAAATAACATCTAGCTGCGATTAAGCTCTCGGGGTACTAAAAGCTCTCAACTACTAGCTGATAACCAGGCACAGACTCTTGGATCGTGCAAAGCACATGCCGTATCTGGATACTGAGTGGTGTGAAGCTTGTTAGTTTATCTGTGCCTTGTCACTTAACAAAGCGATATCAAGAACCCTGTGGGAAGAGTTCGACTCCACCGCTTGCTAGACCGGACAAAGCGTTCTGTAGAACACCTATGGCAAAGTTTAACTGGAATGGGGGTATACGGCAACCTTGTAGCACCTTACTGGAGACGGCAAAGGGTGGTGAAAGCTGGCCATAGGCCATAACCCGACTTGAGTTATGACGAGGATCAACACATACTTCTCAGGTACTTAGTATCACAACAAACAGTTTCGTAGTGCGGTTCTGTCGATAAAGTCGAACGCCGCGAGAATATTTAAGAACACATTGATCGTTAGTTTGTGGTAAACATGACGGTGCCCTAGCAACTGTCGGAGAGTGAAGACTTGTCCGATTTATCAACGAACGGTGCAAAAACCAACCTACTTCTCACGGGCATGCTTCTCATGCGTCTTTTACAATCCATACACCTGGTGTTGTTTTATCACAAGTCAACCATCAAAATGATTCTCTGTTCTTGCGCTACAATGGGGACAACGATTTCGGGTGTTGCGGAACGCCATGAGACAATAGGTCCATGACAAGAAATCGTGTGGGACACTCTTTGATTGGTAGCGCTTCCCTCTCAAATTTATTTATTTTGTTTTATGGCATACTCGACCACACGAAATATTTATTCGGGGTTACAGTTCATCAAGTTCAAGCGTGATTTACTCAACGCTGTGCGCGTTATGTCCTCGCTGGCTCATTTTCGGATTTCTGCTCAAACAACAGAAAGAACGCAAGCGTGGTGTTTGGCAATCAGCGCTTAGTCGCACACTCCGTCCAACATGACCGTGACCTCACGAACATCAGGTCACTTTTCGTAAAGATGATCAATCCCATGTGCACCCTTGAATCACGCAACACGCGTGCATTGTATTGCACTGTATTGTATTATATTGTATTGAAGCTTTCGCGAGTTATATACAAGGTTTCAGTCACAAAGGGACCACCATCACAACACTGGCAAAAGAAGGACAAAAGTGGGCTAAAAAGCGTAGAAAAACATGAGTTATCTACTAAATGCATTAGAAAGCTCAGAAAGAACACTCCTTTTCGGTCAGTATCCGGGCAAGACACAGTACCAAAACGTTTCCAAGATGGGATGAGTTTATATTTGAAACGGGTGGAGGGGTGGGATTTGTATGCTCACAGATCAATGTGTAAAGGATGTGTGCAATCAGATACAGCAGATTCAACCAACTTCAAGAACGTATTAATTTGAGTACCACAGATACTGTCAATCAGAACAGACAACGCCACGTGAGAAACACGGTTGATCACTGATAGGCCACACCTAAGCAGCTTGAAATCAGCCTTTAGCGAACCAGGGAAATTACAATGGAGCAGTAAAGGGGTATATGGAGAACACATTGTTGAACAAAAGCTTCTATCAACGACAAATCAGGACAGAAGTGACACAGTGTTCTAATCTGAAAGAAGAGAACTTTCAGCTTTGGAGCAGTGGTCTGGGTATGTAAAGACCAAAGGATATCCTCAAGTGTGACAGCCTAGTACTTCACATAGTGGACCCTCCTCATCGAATTTCCCTGAATCTGCGCATTATCGGAAGGAGACGGAACGGTTTGAAGTATAAAAAATATATTCGGGGCATTTTTTGGGATCTTAATCCCGAAAAATACCCCGAATATATCTTATAAGATTAGGACCGGATAAACCGCAAAACGTAACGAGGTGGAATAAGTTTGTATTATATGCAGCCAGTGTATGCAAGAATCCCGGCTCAAATCAAGGGTTTCAAGTGCTTCGTAATGACACAAAGCACTGCAAGAAGAAAACAGCAGGTGGAGCGATCGCCTACATCAGCTCCTATTTGATCGGCAAGTATGGGGTTCTCTTTGATTACTCCGCCGATGCCATTGACTGTTTAGCTATTCAATGTTTCCCTAGAATTCTGAGATACAGTAGGACCATCCTAAACAATATGTATAAAGCTTCCTTTTATACGTAGTCTCACATTTCATTCTTCTTTGATGCATTCATGCCGTCTTTCCTTCCCCTGATACACAGTAATCTTCACATTGTTGTTGGTGAGTTAAATCACGCATCCACTTACCACATCACATCTTGTGATATAACTGTAATTTGTCTATCCCCCAAAAGAAGTAATTCATTTTTAAACGAGGTAATTACTAATCACCCGAAACACTTTACCTTAACACTCAAAGTTACTATTTCCATTAGTAATCGCGCTTTGATTCTCATAAGACTCGCAATATGC